CATCTTAATCATCTTCCTGTGCTCCAGTTTATTGCTTAGAATTGCCTGAACCTGACTCATCGATGTTCAGCATCTACAAGTCTTCTTCCTGCTAGAAAATCTGCCTTCTCATGCTTGAAAATAAACCAAACTTTGCACAAAGACCCAGTGTCAGTACTTCAGTGTGAAACCATCTGAGGCTTCTCACTTTGCACATAGCTCAACTAGTTAAACATCAGTTTTTCACTTATGAAGCAAATCAATCATTGTTAAAATCAATTACCAACATCTCCATGCTGTCTAGATGCAATATGTGTATTTTCAGATTTTTGTTTCGATAACTGAATTTTTTACAGTGGTTTGAAATCTGCTTTTCCATGCATGGACGGCTGCTAAACCTGCATGTCTGGCTTAGTCAATTTGTGAAGCTACACATGAATTGTCACTGACTAATTAGCTCAGTGAGATAGAAATTGATCCTTAGTTTCAGACGTTGTGAATTCAAGCCTCAGCTGATGCAAAAGGCAGATTGTGTTGCTAAATTCCTAAATGTCTTCTAATTCTTATGCTTGTTGCTCAGAATTGCCTAAAAATGCCCGGACCCGACCCATCGCTGCGCAGCAGCTATAATATTAATATTGCAATTTCTAACCATTTTGGAAAAAGAGAATTTAGCTGTAATGAGAGATATTCAGCTGGCCTGTGAGTAGGTGGAGGAGAAGCAACACCACTTTGCTGGAAAAGTTTGCCTACCAATGATCTTGAGGATGAATGAGGAAGATGCCATGCTGGCCATCACAATGCGGGGCCTGTTTTTGAACACACTGCTTTATGACGGTGATATGGATGAAGAAGAGACAAGAGGACATGGAGTTTTTCATGCAGGAAATTTGTGATAAGAGACATTCATGTGCCTGCTCAACCCTCAACTGTGACCAGTGTTGGGGAAACTATTCCTTAAGTCAGTAATCACATTTAAGTTACTAACTGAACACATATGTCATCACTTGCATTACATGTCATTCAGTTATTCGTATAGTGAGTTGATAAAATAATCAAAGATGCTTTTTCATTTGCACTTTTGCAACAATTGCCTGACCTCTCCTGACACGTCTAAAAATTCAACACAGCCTGGGGAGTCTTTTGCTGATTCTGAGCAGGAGCAGGCAAATTAAGACTCCTCCTTAAGTGGTAAAACCACGGCATTAGTGATACACGTCACATCAGCTGGACTAGTCCACTATAAATCCATGGTTTGGTGAATGAGTGACTTGATTAAGTTTGTCTTGTTAAATGTCCTTCTTATTCTGTTTAAGTGTTTTAAATGTTTTTGAAATGTGGAATGAGATTTTTTTCCTTCCATAAATTTATCATTATTAGAAGAGGAACAAGAAGGTGGAGCTGGGCCTGAGAGGCGGGGCTGGACCCGATCAAGCTCCCGGACCCACCTCACCCTTCCCCTCCCTTCGGGGCTCCGGGGGAACCGAGTTCTGTCTTTCTTTTTTTGGGTTGTTTAGCCGTGTAGGCAGTTGCTGTGCTGGAATAGCTATTTTACCTGGTGCACTGTTCGCCATTGCCGCTTGCTCTCCCCTTCTGCCGGTGGCACGGGAACGCGCATATGCAGTAGAACAGCAAATAGGAACACAGTGGTCTGAGCTGACCTTTGATTGGTTGATGCACATCGGCACGATACTGATTCTTTAGAGGCTGAACACAGAGC